TTCACTTAAAAAGCAGCATTAACCTCAGTTAAAGGATTTAGCCACTCTCAGTTCACTTGAGTAACTGTTCATTTCAGTTCAGACGCTCAAGCTTCCTTAAGCCTGCAGCTTTCTCAGGGAGGTGGAGAACTGTAGAAGAAGCAGTTCAAATGCAACACTCTGAAGCAGAGCAAATCTCCTTCTTGAATACATTACTATTTAAAAGTTCATGATCAGTATTTCTAATAATATTAAAGCAATTTAGCTACAGATACATCTACAAAATGATTCTAATATGATTCTAGTACTGTACTGTACTGTATACATTTGGAGTAATTTGTAGAAAACTATGATGTATGATTGTTAAATGAGGGAGAAAGCTGTAGAGCATCAAGAGTGATGTATTAAAATCAATATTTAGAATTCCTTTTATTTGCAAATCAGTGATCAAATCTTAATCAAATCCTTAAACAGATACTAAACTGTTGACAAGAAATTACTATAAACAGATGAGATAATAAATCATTTAATATATTCTGGTTTATGATTCATATTACTTAAATCTATACTGGATAAGTAATAAAATCAAACCTATGAGATAATCTGTAGAAACTAAAACCAAACATATTCCATGAGAAAAAATCAGAAAAACAAAGTTTTGAGAATCCCTGAAAAGCTGTTTTTTAGTTTAGGTTTTTAGTTTTAGTGTAACCTTAACACATTCCAGGAGTAAAAGTTATCCAGCCCTGGTTTCAAACTGTTTTCAGGGGAAAACCACCTATTGTTGGTTTATGTTGTTCCTAAAAAATGAGCGTGAACATTTCTTTTTGTGCATCAAGCCACTTTCTGTGTACAAATGAACCTGATATGCGTACATAGAGTACATAAAGCAAAGAGAAAAAGCATCCAGCTTAAGGGAGAAAGGGAGGATATGGGGGATTAGGGCTCTGTGCTACTGTTAGTTTTATTACTCAAAACTAAACAAATTATGAACTCCATCACGTAGTATTGTTTCCTAATCTGTCTACTCAAACCCAATAGCCCAATAATAACCCTTAAAGCCTACTGCACTGTTTCTCTTTCCAGTCCTTGAGGCTCATTATCCCAGCTCCCAGTACACACGAACCAAGCTTTTACTAAATAGTTGGTACAGGTGTACTGGGGGATACAGTAAAACATAAAATGTAGGCTGTCTGATGGTTCCATAGGAATGGGTTAGGAAACATTGACCACTGCCATGGCTCTTGCATTTATTTAACCACTAGTATAAAGAAAGTTATACAGCACTTATAGAATTTACTATTCACTTATAGAATTATTTATTAATTTCACAGAAAAATGCACAGACGAGTACAGTGAGGAAAGTCGTGCCAAAATGCGTCTGTACTTTTTATTCTCTGAGCTCAGAAAATTACAGTAGTGCTTTCCAATATTTTTTTTTTGAGTTTAACATTTCATACGTTTCATTTTTACAAACAGGGTCGCCTGTTCATTTTTAACGAGTGTAGCAATATTTCACTGCTTGTATACTCTGACCTATGGCATTCAAGATATACAAGAATGGTTAAAATACACGTAATACAATCCAGAGCTACACAGTGAGTTAAGTAATGTCTCCAAAATGCAAGTTATATACAGTGCATTCCATTATAATGTTGTGTTACTGCATTATATTACACACAGTAAGTGGCAGAGTCATAATGCACATCATGCTGAATATTTCTGCTTTACTCTAAATGACGAAAGCACTATACAGTAAAGTTGAAGCAATACTCGTTACATACACAATTAGCTTTGTGATGTTGTAGGGGCACAACATATAGGCTAGCCTTAGGCTTAATAGGAATTGCATTTTGCACTTCACATCGCAGCCTACTCATTTAGCTATTGATCATTTCCAGTCATGCACTGAAAGTGCAGTGGGGGTGAACCTTTATACAGTCACAACTCAAAAACAGTGCAGCGATTACTTTTTTTATTTTTGAACTAATATTTTAAGATACATTATAGCATACATACAAAAACATTGTAGCATTAAAGCCATCACTGAGCTTTAACTTAACGTGTCAAAGTATTTAAAACGTTGTACTGAATGGAGCATTATTTAAACTGGAATTACAGGCTCCAGCACCCGCCACGACCCAGGAGGATAAGCGGCATAGAAAATGTATGCGTGTGTTTTTTAGTGACCATGCTGATTATTACTCTCATACTCTCATACTTGGATGGGTATCATACTAAATAGGCTACTTAGTATCACATGATCAACATTTTAAATCCAGAGTCACTTCTTTTTTGTAAACAAACAATAACAGGCATCTTAGAAAACTGATATGTAAAGTTATTTATCTAGGCGTGTGTTATTTGTTCCAGAAACACTAACAGTGGAATAAAAACAAATGTGATTTGATGTGTGTTAGCTAAACCATGTTCTAAATCTCTCCTGGATGAAGTCAAGTACTTACAGATATCATCCATTGCCTAGTTTAAGTGATCAATCCTTCATTAAATTAAATCAACTGAACAAATCCATTTGATGGCTGGAGTACAGCGAGAAGTCAGAAAACAAACTTGTGTATATATATGCAAACTTTAGAAGTATGTGGGGCAAAAATAAACAGTCTCAACAGTCCAAACACATCTTTGTCTCACCTGGTCATTTTATTTAGAGAACTTTTAGACAAAATCAGGTTTTCTAATGCTGGACAAAAATAATAAATCTCTTAAGAAAATTACTGGTTAAATGCTCTAAAAAGGAATAAAAGTGGCTAGAAATCATGTCAGATTCTCAGTGCCTCAGAAGGACACAGCCCGAACAGGCTGTCAGATAAAGCAAGACGTTCTTTTCCAAATGATCTACATTAAAGACAAAACCTTTCCCCATCCCCAAAATGAACCCCAATTCTTCAGACCATTAGATGATTGTTCTTATGTCATACATGTATGACAATACCATTTAGATTGTGCTGTACCATTTAAATGTACATGGCAATGAGGTCATAACTAAATTAGAACAAGACATGCGCTTTGTTAATCTGTTTACTGACTGTTAATGACACAATGGTAGTGGCACACCAGGATAGCTAGAAAGGCTTTAGGGTCACCATGTTTTTGTGAAGATAAACAATACTCATATGAAGTGGAGAGAAAGAGAAATATCATTCAGGGCTGGGCACTTTAAAAGCACAAAGATTATTGATAAAGCCAGTATCTCCCTGAACACTCTCTTTAGTTAAGATGATCTTAACACTAAGATGCTTTTGGTAAACTTGGCCCAGACCATAGGGGTGGCCAGTAGCCTAGTGGTAGGAGAGGTGAGCCAGCAACCAGTAGTCTCTTTGACTGGAGTTGTGCTCTTGGGTAGGGCCCATCACCGTTCCAGGTGGCACTGCTCTGACACTGTGCTGTTTCCCAGACTGGCATAGTTAGGCAGCAAAATCGATCATTATGAAGTAGACAAGATAACCAAGATTATACTACATTATGTACACTACACTACGACTATATCTGGTACACAGATATACAGTACTTGTGTGTACACATATCTTGCAGAAGGTTAAAAGGATTTATGCTCTTAGCCTAATTACATTTTTAAAATTCACAAAAAATTTGGGACACTGCACAAAAGCAGGCTAGTTTAGCACTCAAACGTTTTTACTACAGAGCCATGGTGTTGTAATACATGCAGAATGTGGTTTGGCATTGTCTTGCTGAAATAATCAAGGCCTTCTCCGAAAAAAAAGGTCATCTGGAGGGCAGCATTTGTTGTTACAAGCCTGTATATATCGCTCAGCATTAATGGTGGCTTTACAGATGTGCACTAATGCACGCCATACCATCACAGATGCTGGCTTTTGAACTATGTGCTAATAACAAGCTAGATGGTCCCTATCCTTTTTAGCAGAGGATGTGGCATCCATGATTTCCTAAAAGAATTTAAAATTTTTAATTTGTCAGACCAAAGGACACTTTTACACTTCAACTCAGTTCATCTTAAAAGAGCTCTGGCCCAGAGAAGGTGGCACCGTTACTAGATCTTGTTTATATATATGGTTTCTTCTTTGCATGATAGAGTTTTAACTTGCATTTGTGGATGCAGCAACAAACACAGACAATGGTTTTCAGAAGTTTTCCTGAGCCCATGCAGTAATTTCTACTACAGAATCATGTCTGGTTTTAATGCGGTGCCACCTAAGGGCCTGAAGATCACAGCCAGCTAATGTTGGTTTTCTGCCTTGTCCCTTGCATACAGAGATTTCTCCAGATTCTCTGAATCTTTTAAAGCTATTATTTACCGCAGATGATGAGCTCTTTGCTATGTTACACTGAGAAATGTTATTTTTGAATTGTTGCACTATTTTCCCCTCCTCATGTTTACTTCTGAAAGACTCAGTCTCTCTGGGATGCTCTTTTTATACACAATCATGTGACTGACCTGTTGCCAATTAACCTAATTAGTTGAGATGTTCCCCTAGGTGTTTATTTTTAGCATTACACAAATTTACCAGTCTTTTGTTGTCCCTGTCCAATTTTTTTTTAAATGTGTTGCTGGCATTAAATTCAAAATGGGCATGTATTTTTCAAAAAACAATATAATCTCTCAGCTTGAACATTTTATATGTTGCCTTTGTAACTTTCAATTAAATATAAGGTTTAAATAATTTGTACATAATAATTTGCACATCATTGGATTCTGTTTTTTATTTTCATTTTGCAGTGTTCCAACTTTTTGGAAATGAGGTTGTATATGAAAAGTCAAATTAACATTTTTCGGGGTGCTAACAGCGGTGCTGAAAAATGCTGCACATGGCATATGGGCTGTAAGCTTGACTTGGTGTTCACAGCACAGGAACTGGTATTTCAGTAAGCACATACTTTAGACACAGTGTAAAACAACTATAAGTGGATTTACCATTTAAAAACACAGCTATCTAGTTTATTTGAAATATGGACTGAAAGCAACATTGCCTCCAGACTCTGGAAATGACGTTAAGGTTACACTCATCACTGCCTATTTCCACCGACACTCTTAGTGCACTTGTGTGTCTTCATAGGATTTAAGTGCCTGAAACTCTTCCCACACTCTGAGCAGTAATATGGCTTCTCTCCTGTGTGAATGCGCTGGTGCTGTTGGAGAGTACTCTGTAAAGTAAAATCTTTTCCACATTCTGAGCAGTGATGTGGCTTTTCTCCCGTGTGAATGAGCTGGTGTTTTCGGAGAGTACTCTGTTGATTAAATCTTCTCCCACACTCTGAGCAGTGATACGGCTTCTCTCCTGTGTGAATGCGCTGGTGTTTTTGGAGTGTACTCTGTTGATTAAAACTCTTCCCACATTCTGAGCAGTGATATGGCTTCTCTCCTGTATGAATGCGCTGGTGTTTTTGGAAAGTACTCTGTAGAGTAAAACTCTTCCCACACTCTGAGCAGTAATATGGCTTCTCTCCTGTGTGAATGCGCTGGTGTGTTTTGAGATTACTCTGTACAGTAAAACTCTTCCCACACTCTGAGCAGTGATACGGCTTCTCTCCTGTGTGAATGAGCTGGTGCTGTTGGAGATTACTCAGTTGATTAAAACTCTTGCCACACTCTGTGCAATGATATGGCTTTTCTCCAGTGTGAATGCGCTGGTGTTGCTGGAGAGCACTCTGCTGAGCAAAACTCTTCCCACACTCTGAGCAATGATGTGGTTTAATTCCTGTGTGAATGCGCTGGTGTTGTTTGAGGTGAGTCTCTTGACTGAAGCTCTTCCCACACTCTGAGCAGTGATATGGCTTCTCTCCTGTGTGAATGCGCTGGTGTCGTTGGAAATAACTATAATGAATAAAACTTTTTCCACACTCTGAGCAGTAGTGAGTTCTCTTCTTGCTGCGTTTCTGTGTTTGTCTGTGAGATGTGCTCTTGTGCAGGGGACCAGATGACATTTGCTGAGTACTGGAGCTTCTTCTGGACATAGTTTTATGTTTTATCTGTTTCAGCAGCTTAACATTACTCTTGCTGTAATGTTCTGATGTGTTTGAAGATGCAAATTTGTTGAAATTGTGAAAGTGGTCACTAGGAGCAGGAGAAGTCTTGAAGCAGGATGTCATTTATTTCTAGAAGAAGAAAATAAAGAAAATCTGAACTTAGTCAATAAAAAGCAACAAAAGTAGTCTGACCTAAATCATGAATGCCCTACTTACATCAACTGGCACAAAGTAAAATGAAACAACAGTTTCCATCTGATGTTTTAAAGCCCACCACCTAATTACCCATCCTCTGCAAACGGACATATTTAAACTCATTCCAGGCTTTCGTTTTTCTGTAATTGGTTAAACAGTAAAACTGTGCATTAAAGAATTAAATAGAATATAAAATCAATGCATTATTGAGATATAAAATATATGTTAGGTATCTAATACAGTTTTGTCATAGTGTAGTATAAAGCCAATGGCAAATAAGAATGGTCAAGACGGTCAAAAAACTGATGCAATTTTTTTTTATTATTCTTAGTGCTTCTTGTGAATGGCTACTTTGCAAATGCAATGTGGTGGGACTTTGGTTAAAGCCTAGTTCATCTGGAAAAAAAAGACTGGGTTTCACAGTGTTATTTTGATGTACGTTTCGAACAGTTTGTGTTGTCTCCATTGGTTGGCTAGGCTCTGATGGACTAGATTTTCTGGCCCATACTGATAACCGTCCTGATGGAAAGTAAATGTGTCATGTTGTAAGTGGATGGAGATGTTAAGTTGAGGTGCACTTTGATTTTGTTATTTCAGTAGCTTTTAGAGTCTGTGCTCCTCATATGCCCTGAAAGAGGTTAGTTGTCTTCTAGTTAGTTTGTTCTGCATTTCTGAGCCATATGGTTGTTTTTTAAATTTGCATATGTTGAACGTATACCTATGGTGTTAATGAGATTGATGACTGTGCCACTTTCAGAGTTGAATAACTTTGTACTTACTGTTTATCTAATGCTATGTGGTGTGTTTTAGCTACTTTCGTGCCTAAAACAATCAGTGTTCATACAGCTCCAATGTCTAAATCCACCTAACGGTTCTTACATTCATCTCCCAAACACTGACAGTATCACTGGACTAGATAAACTCATACTTCTTGTAGCAACGTGATGAGATTTAGTACAGTGATTCTCAAACTGTGGGTTGCGACTAAAATATGTCTATTTTGAATATTCCTGGTCATTCAACAATGAAGTTTTTTGTAAGTTGTGGATAAATTATAGACATTTGGGTTTTGGAATGGTTTAAGAATCAGAACACAAGGCATTTAGCTGGAATGGGACTGCTACATACCAACAGTCAGCGGTAACAAAACAAAAAACAAACAAAAAAAAAAACAGTAGTTTCATTTCAAGCGCTGCTGAAATTAGCTAAATCATTCTGACTAAATGAAAGTTGTGCTGTAGATTCAGTTTTAACTGGTGAGAGTTAACTGTGTCACTGTAGGTTTCAACTCTGGTCCTGGAGCCACTGCTCCCCACAGTTTCAGGAATTTACTGTCCTCATCACACCTGATCTCGCTCAACAGCTAATTATCGAGCTGCAAAAGGTGTGTTGGGGCAGTGAATACCTGAAACTGTGTAGGTCAGTGGCTCCCTAGGACTAGAGTTGAAAACCACTGGACTATGGTACACAAAAGTACAATGTGGCTCCACCGAGAAGTCAAAGCACATAAACTGTCTGGAACTGAAAAATGAACAGCATCCATCTCTTGACTGGAAACGCATATAAAAAGTACATTCTATGGTTAAATTCAACTATTTTAATCGAAATGTTGTAGTGATGTCATTTTATCTGTTTAAGTCTGTTTACTGTTTATATGTTAGTCTAATAGACAAAAAAACTGCTGTATTATCTACAAAATCAAATTACACATTCTTAGATGCCCCTCTTATGATGCTGTATTAAAATGTCTTTGTTCATGCATGTCATAAGTATGAATTCAAAATATTATAAATATTAAGGAATGAGCCTCTTTTTTTTCTCCGCAATGCTTTTTCCACCTCCAAATGATGTAGCACGTAAACTTCTCCTATGGTGATACTACTTTCCTCATGCGCTTGTAGTGTATACAGTACAATACATTTCCCCTTAGTACTGAATTCTCCTATATATGTAGGACTATAGAACAATACTATGAAATTAGTCTGCTTGAATGTTCATTTCTCAATACTGCTTCATAATTCCCATCTGGATATATTTTAATGAACAAGTTGTATTGGCATGGCTCGTAAAACCTGGATTTACACCTGTCCGCAAGGCACCTTTTACTGTGTGAATGCTTGGTTAAACTTGTGTAGCGTTATTCTTTCTCTGTACTATTTTGTAACTTTTGTCTTTCACTGTAATAGTGAATTTAAAACACCCAATTTTTTCATAATGTATTTTGAAACATGAAAAGTCTGTGAAAAAGGGTAGAAGTGAGTGTCATTTTTTAATTAATCTTTTTTTTTGTTTGTTTTTGAGCAGGCTGCCTGAAAATACATTTCCACAGCTCACAATACCATTTTGCAATTTACAAGTAACATTTTAAATGAACCTAAGCTGGTGTATTTGGTAAGAGTGTTCAGTGTATTGGACTGGTGAAAGGTTTGGGGAGAGAGTCCACTCACTCAGGAAGACAGCAATATCAATGCAAAAAAATGGAAACGCTTCCAGTTGTAGAATCATAGCAGCAACATCAAACAAGCCTAGCAACACATTTACATTTTTAGACCTCAGCTTCTGAATGAAAAACTAATTTACTTTAGAATATTTTAGCGAAGTCTGCTGAGCTAAGATAAACCATTTGTACTTTTGTCAAGCATTCACAGATAAAGCAGTGTTAGCTTAGTTATTACAAACCTACCTCAAAGCCTACCTCAGTTTGTGTGTTCTGTTTCTTTTGAGACTGTACCTAGTCTTAATGCGCTGGGGTGTTTTTGTTAACTCCATTGTACCAAACTCATACCAAATCGTGATGTCCAAACCACGGCGTGAACCAAACCGTGACTTCTGTGAACCGTTATACCCCTAGTCGGTTACCACGTAACTGTCAGCTACTGTGTAACCGAAGACAAATTTCTTGTATGTGCAAAAACATTAGGCCAGGTAAGCCTGATTCTTATTCTGATTCATCTATTACCTAAGGTTGATTTCAAATAAATACTTTATGCCTTTATATATAACCTGTAGGTCCATATAAATTCATTTTTATTTAGCTCTTAACACATTTTAGCTAACACGGATTGTACTACCATGAAACAACACAATACCCTGTAAAACTGCATTGCCTCTTGGTCTCTTCTGATTATCAATCTTGAGTCTGCCGTGGAGATTACTCCCTTTTTGCTGTAATGAAATATGCATAGTATTAAGACACCCCTGTATCATATTGAATTGAATAAAATTTTACATTTTATGTATTGTTATATGCCTAGTAGTCCTTTCTGTGTGGAGTTTGCATGTTCCCCCTGTGTCTGCATGGGTTTCCTCCGGGTTCTCTGGTTTCCTCTCACAGTCCAAAGACATGCAGTCAGGCCAACTGGATATGCTAAATTGCCCCTAGGTGTGAGTGTGGGTGTGAATGTATATATCTGTCTGTCTGTCTGCCCTGCGATGGACTGGTGACCTGTCCAGGGTGTATCCTGCCTTCCACCCAATGACTGCTGGGATAGGCTCCTGCGACCCAGAAGGATAAGCGGCTTAGAAGATGTGTGTGTGTGTGTGTGTATGCCTAGAAAGGAAGATAATGTGGGAGATTATGTAATAATTGTGAGAGGTCTAGCATAGACAACAACTATCTGATCATGAAAAAAAATCCTATACATTACATTCCTAAATCAAAGATTCACAATATCAATTTTACTAAGTTAGCCTGCTACAGAGATATAAGACCTATTATTCTTTTCATACTGATGTGTTAACAAGTTTTCCTTTTGCATGTTTGCCACTCAAAACATCCTCCCAACCATTTTTTTTTATCTCAAACAACAAGACTGTTAACAATAAATTTGTATATAAATCACTGAAGTGCAGTTCACTGTTTAGACCACAAAGGTCTGCAGGAAGAATTATTTCATTGTGAATATTACTACCTGTCTCATCACACTCTATTCACACTCATGGTGTCTGGCAAGAGAGTGAAAGATCAAGGAGCACTAGTTTTCAGGAAATTTATTAAACTAGAGGTTTTCAGTCCTGGAGACGCAACACTATATACAGTTTTATGCTGTCCTTTATCTAGCACACCTCGTTCATGAAAATAAACAGAGCATGTTGTTCCCAGGACTGGGATTGGGAATATCTGAACTAGGCTATCAAGCTACTGAATGGCTCTCACACACTACACCGCCCTCTTTAGTACACCTCAAACACCCACCATAGACACTCCTACCAGCTCTTAATCTACCTGCCATTGACCAGCCACCCCTATCCAGACATTAACACCTCTTAGGAAGTACTTCATATTGGTTTAGAATAAACTGTGATTTTCCCACTACATTTGTACACATACCTATACAGTTATACTCACCTTGGATAATGTTTGAACATATATCAGTCACTATTTATACATTAATTACAGCTACACGTTTGATACGGCATGACCTCGTTTTACACATTGTTTAAGTGAATGGTTGAAGATCTGCTTTATGTGTGCACAAAACTAGTCATGCAAAAATATGACTCATCCTAACAGTCTGAATGAAGCTACTTCTTCATTTGACAATGAAGGAGTTGACTTAATAACAATGGCACAACAAAGGACAAAGCATATGAGACAAGCCAACAATCATAAAGTCTTGATCTAAAGGACATGTCTTTGATATCTTTGGAACTAACTTGGCAAATAAATCATAAACAAACTGCTCCACGTTTACCAAACCCTACTAGGAAAACTTTATCAACCGAATATTCAGGCTCATCAGCTCACATCACTCAGCCACGTTTGAATGAAGCTGCTTCTGTGTTGGATAAAGCTTTTAAACCAATCAAATCTTAATTTCAAAACTCAAATGTGTCTCCAGCTGTTCGTTTCAGGGTGAATGAAGAACAGTGAGTGTTAAAGTGTCGGACAGCTTCCTACCTTCAATAGCTCAGCTCTTGCTTCTGTTCCTCCAGCAACACTGTATGAGCGAGGAAGAACGGTCGGCTGAACACAACACAACCTTCTGCTTCTCCGCTTTAGAGCAGTTGGAAAAAGTCATAGTTACAGAAATAGCGCCACCACCTAACCCGAACCGGCTTCACACTGAAACCGGCTCTGGCGCGACCACGGCAACAGGAAATGACACACGTATTCAGTCAAGTCCCGCCTCTAGAGCTCTGATTGGGTAATAGCAAGGGCTCAACTATAGGCTTACAATTTGAGGGGTTAAACTCACCACAAGAATTTCAACCTGATAATGCATCAGTTTTAATGGTTATAATATGGTTACAGAAGAAAACTGCACTCAGGTGATATAGGAGGGTATATTAAGTTCAACTGTGGTCAGTTATTTCTCCTGAGCTTGATAGTGAGAAGTTGTAGATATGCTTTTTTACTTTATTTGAATATTATATTTATTAAAAACTCTCCATGTATGTCAACACTGCATTACAGAAGTGAAACGAGCTCAATTAATGAAAAAGACTTGCAATGTGTTTCTAAGCTCTTCTGTCTCACTACTTGTCTCACTCCCTCCTTTAATAGAGCTTTTCTCACCTCATGTCTGTCAATCTCAGCCTCTTGTGTCTACCTGCTTTCTATTCTGATGTCTGTCACAAAAACATAAATTTATATTTGACATAAACACAGATCTAACATCATGGACAGATCTAACATCAGGAACTCTGGGTCTAAGCTGGATCTGTCGCACCCTGTGTTATATAAAAATGTTCAGAACCCGATATGTTTTGTCCTGTGAACATTTTTCTCTTGAATATCACTGGATTCTCTGAATTACAAGGTCATTAAAGAACCTTAATACTAACTCCTACATGCAAGCTAATGCTACTACGCATCAATATGAATATGTCTTTGGCAATGAAGTGGGGGTTTTGCTTTGCACAGCTGTCCAGTCTGAAAGCAGTTTTTTCAGAGCTATTTCTTGATCTTTCAGATCTCGCTGACTTTCATTTATGAATGTCATTTCAGACAGTATTCAGATTTCTTTTATATTCTTCTCTCGCTTTGTAAGAATCAATTATCTTTAGTTTCAGATCCTCAATCTGCTGTTTAGATAAGCCCTTTGCTATGAAGTGTAAGCACCCTACAAGGTTTGAAACCTAACATAATGTATTGTGCTCTGAAATTGTCTACATGTCTTGGATTAAATCCTAATGAGTTAAATAAGCTCTGATATCTTCCAAAAAAGACAAAAAAAAAATCATATTTTGTTTCCTTACTGACCTTGTAAAGCAGAGGATCCAGTAACATTTTGCAAAAACCGGTACATAGGATAAAATGCATCAAGTTTGGATTCATCTTGTTTAACACAGCGATGCTGGTGATATTGTAGCGTAGTGCAATTGGTGTGTGAGAAGAGTTCACCAGGAACTTGTGGTTCACACTCATTGTTATGTGCCTTTTTCTGCTGTTTATTCAATAAAAAGAGCTTTTCTAGGCAGAATAATGGCTTCCTAGGTTGAATAATATGACTATTATTCAGGACATGAATCAGGTAAACTCTCCTCTCCAAGTTTGATGCCAGCAAATAACAAAAAGGTGTGGGTGAAGTATAGCTGTTTACTGCATTATTAACACCAACAAGCAACAGTGTTTACAAGCTGCAGCTGGGAAAAGATAACCACATTTCACAAACTCGCAGCAGCAGCCTCTGTGGATACCAGTCCAGTCCAGACGATATATGGGTGAGATGGCACACTCCTCATAGGTGCACATCATTTAACAATGATTATCTAGTCTCTCAGTTAAGGTTTATTTACAACTCTGGACTAATGCAAAGTGGAAATTAATTGATTAAAAATTGAATTTAAAATGTTGATTAGCTGGGCACACTGGGCAATATGGATGCACATGTCTCAGTAAATAATAACCATCATTATTCAGCCGAACCATAGTATAAATAGTATTTTACAGTTAAAAGATGCATAAAAGGAAATCTGGGGGAGCCTGTTTGACTGGGCCTAAGGCAACTGTTAATAAAAAATAATAATAGTGTTTTCTATCATTTTAAATATTGCTTGTTTGTACTTCATTCTGTTCTTTGTAGGTCTCCTTATTCTTAGACTGACCAATGAAGCAAACTATTTTAGAGGATTATAGTGGGAGCACTGGGGTTTCAGGTGTGATTATGTGGCAACTGCAAATGGTTTACATGTTTACATGGCTCATGGGTCAGGCAACATTCTCACCTTTTTTACCTCTTACTTGTATTATACCCAGTCTGTCCTACACTGTTAGAAATAAAGGTACTGTGCAGGTACATTTTTCATTTATCAAGGTACAAACAATGTAAATGTACCCTCAAAGGTACAAGGTGGTTTTAGGATGTATTTGTACTATTTAATGACACAAAGTTTTAAGACAGAACAATAAAATAAATAGCATGGAGACAAGACAGGGTGTGTGGAGTCAATACATCTTAGAAATTATAATTTCAAAGGCTTGTGGTACAATTATGTTCCCTGACTAAAGCTACTAAGATGTACCCTTGATGGTACCCCCCCCCAGTGACAAGAAGGGTGCTGCCCTAGTAACAGTTTTGTATTTGTATTTCTGACATTGTACCAGACACTGCAGTGGCCAGTGGTACAGGTGTTGGAACTGGATATTTCCATCATTGTAAGACTGGGTGAAAGGTGACCATTTGGGGACATTTAAGGCCTTTGGCCTCACTGAGAGCGACTCTTGCTAAAGTCATTCGGATGTGCACAATGCATGCATTTTTGTTGAGTGAACCTTACCAGTGACATTGTTATGTTCCTGAACCATTATAATTGTTTTAATTTGTAATGATGATTCAATATGTGTATGCAATGATTTATGTAGATTGTCTACATTACATATAATTTATTTATTATTACTTATAATTCCTAAAGCCTGACACTTTCACAGGAAGGCGCAGAAATGTAGAAGAAGCAGTTCAAATGTAAAACCCTGAGGGTATCATCAGCTGTTTTGTCTTGGCAGTATGTGTGATCATAAATAAAGGTTGATGTGCAGGTAGCTTCAACGATCCATGAGGTATCATCAAGTTCTGCATTCTCTGACATGATTTTCTTCCCTTCCATGAATTGTCTCTGCTATTTCTGTCAGCTTCTTAAGTATAGCAGAATGATGCACGCGCACAACAAGTCAGTTGAATCAGTTAATGCATCTCTTTTTGCAGCCACTGCATCTATTCCTCAATGGACTGTTATACATAACACATTTTTTATCAATATATTGAGGAATTATAGTTTGTATTGGCACTATATTAGTACATTCTTAATCAAACTTTCACATTACTCATATGACTTAATATTTTCTGAATTACAGTGTTAAATATAATACTGCATGTTTCTTTTGTTAAAAGAGTTTTATTTGTTAAATGTTTACTCATTAAGAAATCAAGTAAATAATCAGCTTAACTCCTCCTCTGCAAATCTTCAGGAGTGTAAGTACATGAAATAAAACACAAATAGTTATTCATTCACAGTGGACACATTTATGCCGAAGTATTCATCAGCTTATAGTTGAAATGCACCTCATAATATCAGTTTTTATCCTCTATATGTAAAACAGTGGACAACAGAATGAACTGAATATTAAAATAAGAAAACAGTGTTGTCAGTTAGTTTATTATCCAATTGGTCTGAAACTCAATCAGGAATCATTACTCCCACACTACTAAACTGTCTCTCCCAACTATTGATTCCAACAGCAACAGAATTTGCAAACTAGAGGTTTGACTAAGAAAGTCAACCAGCCAAGAGAATTGGGGCCAAAATTGGATACAATTCATGGAGCACACCCCAGGCTTTAGTGATGTTCTCTCACATCATCCCACTCCCTGTAGCCCCTTCACCCCTCTTTCTTCATTCATTTTTTTTCTCTTCATCCCTCCCTCATTCATCTTCATCCCTCTGTCATCCATCCTAGCCTCTCTCTCCTCCATCCTTCTGCCTCATTCCAAGTCATCCTGCTCATCTGCTGCCAGTTCCGTTAGATCCTCCCACTGCCAACTCAATTTTTATCTTCTCCATCGCTCCCTCGCTGTTGCCACCTTACAACTCCATGCCTTCTTTGGTCCCGTTTGACTTGTGACTTTACCCTCTTGTCCCATTAAGCCCTTTAACTAACTAAACAACCATTCATATTGTCAACATATCACTCGTCTTGTGTTGTTCTCATATCTAATGCCCTCTCTATGTCTAACACAACCTTTGACCATCCAGCACTGACCTGAGGAGCATGGGTTCCTCTGTTAAGCCTTGGTTCATCTGGAAGTTTTTTCCTAATACCCCTGGGAGTTTTTCCTTTCTACTGTCACCCTCAGCTTGGTCACCAGAGCTTTAGACCCAGACGTACAGCCACGTACAACAACATCATCGTCAAGCTATTAAATTGAATAATATTCATCTTCTCTACCCATTGTCTTTTTTCCACCCTGATCTTACAACCCTAATAGTAACACACTGCTTTCACCTCCACATTCATCTCATTAGGATGCACATGAGGGACACTATCTTTGTTGGCTGACACCGTGTTCAGTTGGGTCTGAACCAGTCAAAGTCTTTATTATAATAGTTTTGATTTGTAATGATGAATCGGCGATTGTGTATGTAGAATGTCTACTTTTATATATTTTATATATTACATTTTATAATCTATTCTACATTTAAAATTCACAGTGTGGTCTTTTCTTTTTGTTTCTGGGGTATATCTCTTGACAGAAATGATGAATGGGTGTTTTTTATACATTTCTAAATTTTTATCTTACTCATGCTGTGGTAAATTACCGAACACTGCCAACAAGCAGCCTTTATACATGTCTATCTCAAATCAGACCTTGTGAATCTACAAGAAAACCTCTTATAACAATTTAAAATAAAGATCTTTATTCAGACTTTTAAAATTTGAATTTTGAAATGGGTCTTCAAACAACATATTTGTATGATGTAGTTAAAAAAACAACATGTGGTGTCGACAGAGCTTGTGCTCAGATTAGTGTAGCTGTGAAATACAGTTTTGTGCTGGAGCTTCATTCATTTAATCTCATTTAGAAAACATAAATGTGTGAGAAATGGCA